TTGACATTTGTTTTTTTAAGTTATTCATTTAATAACTACATAATTAGAAGCCTCATTTCATTACAACAGCATTGACATTCAATAACAATTTCCAGAGCTAAGATGCACCTCTTTCAAAACTGCATGCCTGGCTTTTAAAAACTGTTTTAAAGTTTCACTTATTTTGAATATGTACCCAATGGTGCATATGATGTATGCATGCCATGATGTACATGTGGAAGTCAAAGGACAACTTGAGGGCATTTGTTCTCTCCATGCATCATATGGGTTCCAGGATCAAACTCAAGCAGTCAGGCTTGGCAGTAAGCACCCTAACCTGCTGAGCCATCTTGCCCGCCCATGTCACATGCACTTTGCCAGTTTTTGAAAGGAAGAAAAATGGAGGTGTGGCTCTGAAGTAGAGCACCAACCTACCATGTATGAGGCCTTGAGTTCATTCTCCAAACAAAAACCAAAACCGAAAAACCAAAAAAAAAAAAAGAAAGAAAAGAGAGAGAGACATAGGTATTCCATCTTCTCTACCAACCAAAACAGAGAGCCTAGTATAGTTAATAGACACCATCTACTAAAACATCTTTAAAATAATTAAGAAATGGTAATGCACACTAATCCCAGCACTGGGGAGTCAGAAGCAGGCAATCTCTGTGCTATTGAGGCCAGCCTGGTCTATACAGCAAGTTATATGCTGGCTGGACTACAGAAAGCTACAGATCTTGTCTCAAGAAGACTAAAAAAAAAAGAGCCCAAGCATAAGCATATAAGAGCTTTCTACTGTTACTGTTAACTGAGGCCCAGGCTGGGACCAGGACCATGAGGACTAAGTGATCACAGGTAGTCATACAGGCCATTGCTATGGATTTCTTTAAGCTATACAGTAGGTCCAGAATAAGTTATGTTTCGCAGTAGATGCTTAAGAGAACGAATTCTTCAGATCCTAGTTATCATTAAGAAAGGAAATAATAATCCATTAAAAGAAAAAAGTGTCAAAAATTAAAAAAAAAAACAAAAAAAAACCCTACCTCTTCCATTGTTTCCTCGATCTGGGCAGAAGTGGGTTCAGGGGATCTGAGACCAATAGGTACAAATACTGGTGCTTTGTTTAATTCTTCTGGGGCAAGATGACAGGTATCTTCTTCATATTCAGACTCAAAATCCTCAGTATCATCTTCATCCTCATCCTGGGAAGCTCGAAGAGTCACCAGCATGGACTTGGACGCTCTAGGTTCCTTCTTAGTCTTACCTCGACTTCGTTTTGATCCACGCCCTTTGGTCACATTTGGTTTGATCTTCCTAGGCATTCTCCTCCCAGGATGATCTAGCGCACACTCAGAGGCAGAAGACAGAGTTGTTCTTTGAGGTGGAGCAATTTTAGAACAACTTGATTCTTTCAATAGTTGTGGACAGCTGCATATTTAACCAAAATAGCGCAAGGATAATCTTAATGAAACCAAACTGTTAAACAGTAAAATCTCAGTTCCAACCATTAAAATAAAGATAAAGATTGGGAATATAGATCAGTGACAGAGCTCTTACCTAGCATATGTCAAGCCCTAAGTTCAATTCCCAGTACCGCAAAAATATAATAATGATGATGATAAAAATACCTCTCTGTATTTTGTGATGCCAGGATCAAACATAGGTCCTTCCAAGTTCTACACAAATGTTCGGCTATATCCCTAGCCCCACCCATTCTTTTAAAACATATGTCATAAAAGTAAGAAAGAAATTAACCACTACGTAGCATCTTATTCAGAGTTAAATTTCATTTATCTATAAATGTTGTATAAATTTTTAATCTGGCCTGTTTTTACACACAACATGGTGGTAGAAATAAACACAAACCTGGAAATAAAGTGGAAAAAAAGGCAAAATACGTGGAACTAATTAATACTGAATGAGATCAAAAAGTGATACTGTTTACCTAGTGGGCACAGCTAGGTTAAAATAAAAGAGTAGGGAAGACAAAAAGCCATTAAAGTAATGATGTTTTTTAGAGCTTAGGTTTCTTCCCACTGTCTTTGAAAATTATGGAGGTAGAGTACCTTTCATTATTGTTTACAACTGAACTAGAAGTGGCATTCTAATTTCTGAGCTAATATACACCATTCTTTGATCAGAAAAAAAGTACAATGTTATGAATAAAAATCAAAGTAGGGGCTAGAGTGATGGCTCAGTGGTTAAGAGCACTGGCTGCTCTTGCAGGGGACCCAGGTTTGATTTCCAGCACCTACATGGTGGCTAACAATTGTCTATAACTCCAGTTCCAGGGGATCTGACACCCTCTTCTAACCTCTGTGAGCACTGCATGACACGGGTACACTTACGTGCAGGTAATACATTCATAAACATAAAATAAAAATAAAAAAATTTTTTTAAAAAATCTGAAGTAGGGCCAGGCATGGTGGCACAAGCCTTTAATCCCAGCACTCGGGAGGCAGCAGCAGACAGATCTCTGTGAGTTCAAGGCCAGCCTGGTCTACATAGTGAGTTCCAGGACAGATGGGGCTACAGGGAGACCCTGTCTCAAAAAGACCGAAAAAAAAAAAAAATCCAAAGCAGTAAACACTTGAGAGTGAACAACTCCACTTGTGTTCACAACCCACCTTTCTGCCCTATCAGTAACACAGGATCTGTAAAGACTAAGTGCTTGTCATCTCCAATTCTGAGTATCAGAAGACAAAATGCTACCTTGTTTGTTTACTGAGACTCTGCTCTTCAATCACAGAAGACACAGAGTTATCTTCCACAGTTTCCTCTCCAACACTTCCAGATGATCCAAGTTTTAGTTCAGTGACTTTTTTGGCAAAATCAGATTCTTTAGAACCTACACAATCTTTACTTGCTGAAATCTCCAGAGATGTCAGAATCTCGGTCTTTTCCTTAAATTCAAGAAAAAAACAAACAACAACAAAAATCACTTAATATTATCAGGGAAACAATCTATATTATTTTGGTTTAACAGTCTGGCCTAGTACTCTAAACACACATGCAAGTGATCAATTTCTAAATTTTTATGAGACTGCAAAATCACTCACTTTTCAAGAAAACAGTTACAGCATAGAAGTCAGAACTGTTTTTCACTATCGCTCTCCTTCATGATCCCGACAAGAATTTAATTTTTCAAAACTTACTTTTAGAAGGAGTTCGTTGTCGGAATCTCCCTTCTGCAGCAAATTATTTTCTGGTTTTTGTGCCTCAGTCTGATCTGTTGTGTCTTTTTCTATACCTGATTGCTCTTTTTTATGCTGTGCTCCTCCTAAATTTGGCTTAGCCTTTTGAAATCGCCTTCTTATCAACTGTGCCTGGCCGGGAACATATGGTTTATTTTCATGCCTAGAATGAAGCACAAATCATGTTTAAGAACAACATCAGAACTCTCCATCAATGTAACACTGACATTTTGGATTCAAAGAATTATGTAACAATTGGTAATAAAACTAAGCATGTAAAATGAAACACCACATTGCTGATATAAAAGCCTTTTTAAGTTTCATTTTCTCTACAGCCTGAGGAACAGTATAATATTAATCTTTCTCTGCTTTCATTCATTAATACTGGCCTGGTTTCATACCACTTCAAGTAATTTTCAGAGATATTAACTAGACACTCCAAACTTCGTAACAGCACTTTAAACAAATGCTTCAACTGGGCTCCAACACATGAACAAATATACAGGTTTTGCTTAAGAGCAAGAGTCTATTCTATCACATTCCTGAAAGCTGATGGGAAAGGTCTTATTGTTAGGCAGTCTTAAAGTTCTGATTATAACCCATTTCAGACAAAGACAAGGTTGAAACATTCAAAAGAAATTCAAAGCTACCAAGGTAACTCCAACAGCCATTCTAAGGTCTCATATGGAAATAGTTTAGTAACTAGCTAACATCTGAACTGGGGTATTTAAAAATTAATACCGAGGCCGGGCGTGGTGGCACACCCCTTTAATCCCAGCACTCGGGAGGCAGAGGCAGGCGGATCTCTGTGAGTTCGAGGCCTGCCTGGTCTCCATAGTGAATTCAGGACAGCTGGGGCTACAGGGAGACCCTATCTCAAAAAGACCCCCCCCCAAAAAAAATTAATACAGAAAGGGATGTAGTTCCATGGCAGACAATCTGCTACCACATGCAAGGCCCTGGGTCCAATCCCCAGTACGTACATATACACACACACACACACACACACACATACACATACACACACACACACACACACACACACACTCACTAATATAAACCTGGATATACGATTAAAAACTAACCCCCCAAATATTTATAAATAAAATACATAGACACCCTCTTCCTGTTTTCCAAGGGTTTGTATGCATGTGGTACACTTACATACGTGCAGGCAAAACATTCATACACCAAAAAACTTTAAAAATCTTTTTTAAAAAAGCAGTCACGTGAAGACTAGAGATGCAACGCAGTAGTAGAACACTTGCCATACAAGAGTCATTAGGTCTACTCTCCAAAAAAAAAGTCATCACATGTGGTTCTGCAAAGATATTTAAGAATGGGACAGCGAGATGGCTCAGAGAATAAAGGAGCTTACCATCAAGCCTCACAAACTGAGTTTAATCCCCAGGACCTACATTGTGGAAGGGGAGAAGCGACTTGTCAGCTGAGTGGCACACACGCCCAGAAACACACACACACACACACACTAAAATTTTAAAAACAGTAAAAAAAAAAATTTAGGGTCTGGAGAGGTGGCTCCGTAGTTAAGAACACTGGTTGTTCTTGTAGAAGACCTGGGTTCGAATCCCAGCACCTGCATGGCAGCTAACAACTGTCAGTAACTCCAGTTCCAGAGGATCAGACAGCCTCTTCTGTCCTCCGTGGGCATTGCAGGACACTGGTGTACTTACCTACATGCAGGCAATACATGCATACACATAAAAATAATAAAATATATATTTAAAAAATTTAAGATAAAATGTTATATATAAATAATTTGTTATTGAAATCAGAGGTGACAACAAAATGCTGGACTTAACAATAAGGAATAAGGGGCTGGACATGACTCAGTGGTTAAGAACACTAGTTATTCTTGCAGAGGACCTGAATTCAATTTGCAATTTGCAGCACCCACATGGTGGCTTACAACTACCTGTAGTCACAGTTCCAGGATATCTCATATCCTCTCTGGCCTCCACAGGCACCAGGAATACATACATGTAGTCACTCAAACATACACATAAATAAATCTTCAAAAAGAAAGAAAGTAAAAGAATAAGGTAATTTTAAACCAGGCCTGGTGGCATAAGCCTATAATCCCAGCTACTAGGAGACTGAAACAGAACAATCACAAGTTCAAGCTTTGCTTGGACTACAGAGCAAGTCCAAGGCCAGTCTAACAACTTAACAAGAATGTTTCAAGATAGAATAAAAAAGGGCTGAGGCATGGCTCAGTAGTAGAGCACCTGACTAGCATAAAAAAGGCCCTGGGTTCAATCAAAAGCAATATAAAACACAAAAGCAATTCAGAATGCTAAGTTATATAATATCAATTATGTTAAAAATCAAAATATTTAATAAGCTTTAGAAAGCTTCTTCTTACTAAAAGAAAACTTACCTTATCTTCTCATGTAAAACATTGCTTTTGTTAACTCTGAAGTTTTCTACAGGAACCACATGACCTTGTTCATTCACTCTGCACTCTGAAACTTTGGCGGACACAACTTCAATTTCAGTTTCAATTTGAGAATTTGACTGAAAAGACAAAACTGTATTAATATACTCTCTTTACAGCAGAACTTAAAAATGTTTTAATCAACAAAAAAGCATTTTTTAAGTTTCTCCTTCTTTTTGGTATTGAGAAATGAACCCAAAAGATCTGCATGCACTCTATACTCCCAAGTCCAGTTTGCTTTTTAAATTCTAATTCAAACTGGGCATCCAATGTTCATCTTCTGCTGCCAAAACAAAACTGCATAGTTCACAGCAAAAGGTGCAGTGATTTATTGAAGAAAAGTGTGAATAATGCATCTAAAGCTCCAAGATGGGCCTGAGGTGAGTGCATGGTAGGTTGTACACCTGTTGTATAACACCTGTTGTACAACCAAGAACAGCATGTAAGACAGTGCCAGCGGTACAACACCATGTAAGACAGTGCCAGTGGGTACTTGCAACCCTAGCACTAGAGGACAAGCGAACAAGTGGATCCCTAGATCTCACTGGCCAGCCAGTGTAGTCAAATTAATAAGTTTCAAGTTCTGTCAAAGGCCCTATCTCAAAAAATGAAAGCAGTAAAGGACACCCTATATCAACCCCAGGCCTCTGCCTACATACACATGTGCACATACCCAAATAAACACATATATAATGCTCTAGGAATCATGTTATAAAATTAAAAACAATTTGGAACGCGCTGGGTGTGGTGGCACACACCTTTAGTCCTAGCACTGGAGAAGCAGAGGCAGGTGGATTTCCATGAGATCAAAGATCAAGGCCAGCCTGATTTACATAGCAAGTGCCAGGCCAGCTGGGGCTATAGGGAGACCATGTCTCAAAAAGACCCCCCCTGAAAAAAACCAAAAACCAAAAAACCAAAAAAAAAACCACCTTGGAATGAGGATGTAATTTGATTGCAGACTGCATGTACATCATGTGCAGAACTCTAGATTTGATTCCTATCACCAAAAAAGTTGAATGGTTTTTCCTTTTTATTTTTTAATATTTTATTTATTATTTTTATTTTATGTGTGTGAGTATATTGCCTGCATGTATGTGAGTGCACCCGTGTTGTGCAATGCCGCAGAGGTCAGAAGAGAGCTTCAGACTCCCCTGGAACTGAGTTAAGGGCAGTTCGTAGCCGCCATGTGGGTATTGGGAATCAAACCCAGGTCCTCTGCAAGAGCAGTCAGTACTCTTAACTGCTGAGCCATCTCTCCAGCTCTGGGTTTTCCTTTTTAAATAAAAGAGTATTTTTATTCAAATAAGGATTACATACTTAAAATCTACATTTTATGTTATCACTCAGAGAAAAGAACAGAAAAGTAAAGACTAGCAGAAACAAACATTTTGGGGCATTATACTACTTATGTATTTTTTTCCTATTATCAAAAAATTTATTAAGAAATTGATTAAGGGCCAGTAGGATAGATCAGAGGGTAAAGGTACCTGTCACCAAGCCTGACAACCTCAGTCCAATCCTCAGAATTCAGACGGTGAAAGGAAAGGACCCCCACAGGTTTTCCTCTGACCTCTCTATGGGTCCTATGGCATGTGTACACTCACATGTGCACACCTCACATACACAGGAACACATGTGCATATAAACACAAATAAGCAGGTGTAGTGGCACACACCATTAATACCAGCACTCAGGAGGCAGAGGCAGGCAAATCTCTGTGAGTTCAAGGCCAGCCTGTTCTACATAGTGAGTTCCAAGACAGCTGAGGCCACAGGGAGACCCTGTCTCAAAAAGACCAAAAAAATCCCCACAAATAAATGCTTACAATTTATAAAAGAAGAAATTGATTAAAGCTGGTCATAGTGGCATACTCTTGTAATTGTAGCACTTGAGAGGAAAAGGCAGGCAGATCAGGAGTTCAAGGCCAGCTCAGCTGCATAGTAAATTCAAGGCTAGGCTAGGTTACATGAGAACTTGTCCATCATCAGTGCCATCCTCAAAAAGAAAAATAAATAAAAAGGAAAAAGAGAAAAAGAAATTGGTTAAACTATGGGGTATGATGGTGCATCCTGGTTATCATAGCACTCAGAACGGTAAGGAGGAAGGGAAAGACTGATCTCAGCCAAATGAGGCCCTATCTGAAAGGAAGGAAAAAGAAAGAAAAAAAGGTTAAACTGTCATAAAATCAGCATGCTGTTGTGCAGCAAAAATGATATAACTCCTATTTCCTTTTAATAATTTTTAAATTTTTAAGTGTCTGAGTGTTTTGCCTGTATGTACTTAAGTGCATCTGAAACAAAATTAGATACATTACACTGTAATAACCAAAATGCACCACACATATTCTTTAAGAAGAATGTGAGATAACCAGTCAAGGCTGAGCTATCACTTGTTATTTTAACATAAAAGCCTCAATTTATGACATAACAATGATCTCACCACAGTCAGAGATTTCTTTTGAGTTTCATCTTTTGGAGCTATTGCTCCTTCTTCCTTAGCTACGCCTTCAGCATCACCTTTTGCTACTATTTGCCTCTGTCTAGCCTTAAGCACATTTGGTCTCGGTCTATGAAGTCGGCCCCTCGCTGGTAAAGCAATTTGAACAACACTTTGCTTTGTTTCTTGTGGGATTGTGTTCATCTTCTGAGTCCTGGAAAAGAGGACAAGAGGAGAGAAAGGGAGTTTGACTATTATCAAGTTCACAACTACCACAAAAACATATTAACTTGGATTTCCTCAATTCTCGTGAAAATATTGAAGACAATGATCCTCTGATATTAAAACATATGCCAGGCGTGGTGGTGCACACCTTTAATCCCAGCACTGGGGAGGCAGAGGCAGGTGGATCTCTGTGAGTTCAAGGCCAGCCTGGTCTCTGTAGCGAATCCAGGCCAGCTAGGGCTACAGGGAGATCCTGTCTCAAAAAGACCAAAAAAATAAATAAATAATAAAATATATATATATTACAAAAGAAAAGTCTATTTTAGGGTTGGGAATATAGCTGAATGGGAGAGTGAATACCTAGTGGAAAGCCCTCAGTTTAATCCCCAGCACAGAAAAAAAAGGAAAAAAAGAGGGTGGAGTAAATGAAGCAAACTCATTTTAATTCTTGAGGGTGGAGTAAATGAAGCAAACTCATTTTAATTCTTAACTATTAATAAACTAATATGATGATATATGGAAAACAGCCAAATGTATAAAAGTCAGAACAAAGAATCATGGTTGCCACTAGACAGCTAATGTTTAATGAATACAAAGTTTCATTAAAAGGTTAATGAAAATGAAAAGTATTCTGGGGATGGATGGTGGTGAAGAGTGCCCAATAATGTGTATATGATTAATGCCACCGGTTTGTACACCCAAAAATGGTTAAGATGGTAAATTTTATCTTATGTACATTTTACCAATTTCTAAAAAGGTAATAAATATATAGTATATATACATATATATTATTAGTGCATTAGCATTATAAGGTGTGCAATTTCATCTAATTTTCAATTTTAGGTGGTCATCAATTAGACCAATTATTCTTTATATTCTTTATATTCACTTTTAACATATTTCTAAAATAAGGAAATATTTAAAAGGAAAGTCTTGCTTTTTCGTTGGAGCAGCCATCTTCCAGTGATTCACCAAGATGACAAACACAAAGGGAAAGAGGAGAGGCACCCGCTACATGTTCTCTAGGCCTTTTAGAAAACATGGAGCTGTTCCTTTGGCCACATATATGCGAATCCACAAGGGTGATATTGTAGACATTAAGGGGATGGGCACTGCTCAAAAAGGAATGCCCCATAAATGCCACCATGGCAAAATTGGGAGAGTCTACAACGTCACCCAGCATGCTGTTGGCATTGCTGTAAACAAGCAAGTTAAGGGCAAGATTCTTGCCAAGAGAATTAGTGTACATATTAAGCATATGAAGCACTTTAAGAGCCAAGACAGCTTTCTGAAGTGCATGAAGGAAAATGACCAGAAAAAAAAGGAAGCCAAAGAGAAAGGAACCTGGGTTCAGCTGAAGCGCCAGCCCACCTTGCCCGGAGAAGCACACTTTGTGAGAATTAACGGAAAGGAGCCTGAGCTGCTGGAACCCGTTCCCTAGAGTTCATGGCTTAACGTACAAGAAGAAATAAAAGCCCTAGACATAATGTGTTTTCTTAAAGAAAAAAAGAAAAGTCTCAATTTAGATTTTCAAGGAAGGAGCTGATTACCCCATAGAAACTAAGCCTTTTTCCTGGTTTTGTGTTAACTGAGACTCTTCTTTAGGTTCACATGAATTTGAAGGTAAAGGATCCTTTTCTGTCTGTATACACGGTAGTATCATAGTCTCCTCTTCCTTATGACCTGATTTATCATTCTCTCTTGATGTCATCAAGGAAGACACATCCTAAAAAGTACAAAAAAAAATTCACATACTATTAGTATAAGAATAAATTGAGGGGTTAGAGAGATGGCTCAGTGGTTAAGAGCACTTTCTGCTCTTGCAAGGGACCCACATTAGGAGGCTCACAACCACCTATAACTCCAGTTACAGAAGATCTGACATCCTCTTCTAGATCTCCTGTGTACTTACATGCACAGGGTGCACATACAGACAAGTAAGCAAGCGCAAATACACAGAAATCTTTAAAAAGCTTACTACGTCATTTGGCTACAGTTAACATAGCCAGAACTTCAACAAGAGCCTAAACCTCTTAACTGTCTTTTGTCCACACCTGCCTACCAGAGATTTTAACATAAGCTATATGAAATAATAAGGCACATTTAAGTACAGAACAATACCATATATAGTAAAAAAATATATCAACTTGTAAAAGTTAGTAACTTTTTTTTAGTTCAGTAACTAAAAATGCCCACAAACAAAAGCTCCACTTGAAGTATCACTCACACATTGAGCAGCTTGTTCACTGTCCTGCTGTATTGGGACATTCTCTATTTTGTCTGTTTCCGATTTCTTCCCAGGGACACACTGTTCTGCTTCTGGGGTCACTCTCTTTAAAGTTGCTCTTGCCAAGTTTGGTTTTGGTCTTTTGAATCTACTTCTCAGAAAAGGTACTGATTTAACTTCAAGTGGCTTCTGTTCTTGAGGAAGAGCTTTGCTTTTGAAACAAAGATTATCAAATTTTATTAGAACAAACTGAAATAGCAAAGTGAGTGGACTCTTAGGACAACCTTTGAGATTGGCAGTAAGCTCTTAATATATATATTTTTAAGACATAATCTATATAACCTAGACTGGCCAAGAACCTGCTCCATAGGCCAGGGCTGGCCTTCAACTCTCTTCCATTCTCCTGCACCCACCTCCCAAGTGCTATGATTACACACAAGCATCATCATAGCTGGCTTAGTCTTTTTTTTCACCTTGAGACAGGGTCTTGTATGCAGCCCTGGCTGGCTGGAAACTTACTATGCAGACCAGGCTGGCCTTGAATTTACAGAGATCTGCCTGTCTCTGCCTCTGAGTGCTAGAATTAAATGAGGGTGCCACCATGCCTGGCTAATCCTAAATTTTAACAGAAAAAAATTGGAACTATTTGGTAGGTCCTGAAAAACCTGAGTTACACAATCCAGGTATGAAACCATCATTTTTCCATGAACAAAATACGGGTCAAACCCATACTAACCTATGAATACGTGTTCTATACAATTTTGTATTTGTGAATAATTCTCATAACTAGTTGTCAAAATGACCTTAATCCTCACTCTAATCTTCCTATTATATATTTTATGGCTTGAAATCTCACTTACTTTAACATACTCTGCAAATAGAACTTCATATTCTCTAAAAGGTGAAAGACTTACACAATTTGAAAAGAAACTAGAGTATATTATTTTTCTTTAAAAGCATATACACCTGTAAACAAAAACCTCTTTAAAAATGGTGGGGGGGTGGTAGAGAGGGGGGGTGGAGAGATGGCTCAGTGGTTAAGAGCCCTTGCTGCTCTTACAGAGGACCCAGGTTCAGTTTCCAACACTCAAATGGAGGGTAACAACTGTTCGTAACTCCAGTTCCAGGGGATCTAATGCCCTCTTCTGGCCTCCATAGGCACTGCACAAAGGGTTGTTTTTGCATACATGCAGGTAATATACTCATATACATAAAATAAAAATTGAAAAAAAAACTCTTTAAAGCATATAGACCTATATAATTGTACCTTAAGCTAGTATCTGAAAACTGCTCCAACACATCTGGAGGCCCTTGAGCAGTTTCCTGATGTCCAGAATTCTGTGAAGACTTCAGATGACTTAAAACTCCTTTTTCACCATTTTCTTTTTCTTCTACAAATGTTGTCATCACTGATATTTTATTGTTAATGTTCTGGAGAAAAGAATCATAGTGAATGAGAATAAAGAAAAATTCCATAAGTATTTTGTACATTTCAAATAAAAGCCTACTACTGTTTAATTGTTAAACAAAAATTGACAAACAGAAGCCAAACCTAGAATTCAGGAATGAGTTCCTTTTGTATTGCATATTATGCAATATATTAATATATTGCATATTATGCATATATATTACTCCAAACCACAAATGCCATTACCTACATAAAACAGTGTTAGAAAGAAATCCTTAAAAATGCTGTGAGAGCATGAACTTCTGCAATAGGAAACTTTCAAGAAAGGGAACTTTAAAATCTAGTCAGTGGAATGGGGCAAGAAATTAAAAAAATATATATGGTCAGCTTATTTTTTTACTAAGACTGGTACAAATTCAGTACAATTTCCTATATTTTGTCTATCTAAACATATAATTTCAAATTGTCAGAGCAAGTTTTCCATAATTAGAAAAAAATTGTCTTTTAAGTATTTTAAGTGCCAGACGTGGTGGCACACACCTTTAATCCCAGCACTTAGGAGGCAGAGGCAGGCAGATCTTTGTGAGTTCGAGGCCAGCCTGGTCTACATAGTGAGTTCCAGGACAACTGGGGCTACAGTTTTTGTCTCAAAAAGACAAAAAAAAAAAAAATTTTTTTTAAATGACTACATAAGTTTTTTTTAAGAACCTGAAACAAAAATTTAGGGCTAGAAAAGATTTTAGAGTTTGGGGGATTTTAAGTACTGTTGGTCTCAAGGGCAACAATAATGAGATTATTTGGGGAATTTTTTGATAAGACAGAGAAGAACATACTGTGCTATCCTGTGAAGGCCCAGGGCTGCTGTCATCACTAATGCTCAGAACTATACCGGACTCCAGTTGCCCTGAGGTATTACGTTTCTCTGGTTCATATTCTGTTGTGGAAATATCTATTTTCCTAGTTCTTTCCAAATCTGCCACCATTTTCTCATTAACACAGATCTCTTCTGATCCTCCTTCCTGAGAGGCAGAAGCCTCCCTTCTTGTTTCTCTCACATGTGTGCTAGCTTCTGCAACAACAGTTGTCTTTTCTGACAACATCTCCAGCATGGACATGTCTCTTGCTTCAGTTTCTTTCCAATCAATCTCTTTCTCTTCTACCACAATCAACTCCACTAGTGCCTTTTTTCTTTGGGAAGTTTCTCCTCCAGTTCCTTTCAAGTATGCCTCCATTCTGCCTATGGTTCCAACCTCCTCTGGGGCCTTTAGCAGTGCAGCCATTTCTCTTCTTTCAGTCTCTTCTAAATCAGGCTCCGTTTTCTCACTGATATCAATTATGCCTGGAATTCTCTCTTCTGTGGGCATCTCTTTTCCAGTTTTTTGCAACCCTGTTTCCATTTCACTAATTGGACTGACTTCCTTGGGGCCATTTTCCTGTAAAAATATTTCTCTTCCAGTTTCTTCCAAATTTGTGTCAATTTCCTCAGTGGTATCAATCAACTCTGGCACCTTCTCCACTGGAGAAATTTTGTTTACAGATGCTTCCAAACCTCTATCTGCTCCCATAGTGGTATCAGTCAATTCTGGTAGCACCTCACCCACGGAAATCTCTCTTCCAATTGATTCCAAATCTATATCCATTTCCACAGTGACATCATTCATTTCTGACACCTTCTTATTAGATGTCTCACTTCTTCCAGTTTCTTTGAAATCAGACTCTAATTCCACAGTAGTACTAGGAGGAGGAACAGTCACATCTGGTAGCATCTTCCTTGAAGTGTCTGGTCTTACAATTTCTTCCAAAGCTGCTGTCATTTCCCCAGAAACAGGACTCTCCTCTGGGACCTCTTCCTTTGAGGACATTCTTCTTCTTCCCATTCTCTTTCCTATATTTGGTTTTGGTTTCCGAAATCGAGTCCTTAGAACTGGAGCTTGTTTTAATTTATTTGCTTTATTACCCTCTTGAATACTACTAGGAAAAAAAAAAAAAAGACAAAAATTTTAAACCAGACCATGGGTTGAACAGGTTAACAGCTGAGAAATCCCTGTGAACACAGCAGAAACTCTGAAATTTACAAAAGATTAAAGGGCTGAAATTGTAGTTTAGTGGTCAACTGCATATACTAGGCCCTGAGTAAAACCCATAGCACCAAAAATGTAAAAAAAGGGGAGGGGGAGGGGGAGGGGGAGGAGGATAAAGTCTCAAGAATGTCAGGGTAAAACTGGAAATTTAAAAAGAAAACAACAGGGGCTGGAGAGAGCGCAGTGGTACAGAAAACCCGAGTTCAAATCCCAGCACCCACATGGCAGCTAACAATTGTCTGTAGCTCCAGTTCCAAGGGATCCAACAGTCTCTTCTGTCCTCTGTGGGCATTGCACAACACGGGTGCACTTATATACATGCAGGCAATACACGCATATACATAAAATAAAAATAATAAATAAAATGTTAAAAAAAGAGAAAAACAGGGATGGAGAGATGGCTTAGGTTTAAATCCAGTTCCAGGGGATCTAGCACACTCTTCTGACCTCCACAGGCACTGTACAACACAGGTGCACTTACATGCACACAATACACTCATACACATAAAATAAAAATAATAAAATGAAGAGAAAAACAATTTCACTCTTTGAAATTACAATATAATTTTACAATAATTAATCGTATCTATTTTGTGTGTGTGTGTGTGTGTGTATATATGTATATATATATATATATATAGAGAGAGAGAGAGAGAGAGAGAGAGA